ATATAATAATGAATAATAATATGCCTGGCTTCATTCTCTATGGTGTTATGCCTCTGTTGCCTTTTGTATGTACAACTGAGCAAATATGCCTGCCTTCTGACATAATGTCTGTCATTCTCATCATGCAAGTGTTAAAATACGAGTGAGCAGAGTATGCAAAGAACTTAATTCATTTTGGTTTACACTAAACATACTCTGGTATGGCTTCGTCCCTGAACTTGGCCATTCATATGTACAAACACAGGACCTGTCCTTTTTTCCCCAAGCATGTGCATATAGTTAGCAACAGAAGTTTCTTTTTGATAACAAATCAAATTCTATTTTTGAGAAAAAAATTCTATTTAAAAAAAAAAAAAATTCAAATTTTGAGACCACAGTGCAACAAGAAGGTATAGAACCAGGGGTCCTAAGGCAAAGGCACAGCCATGGCGTACAGAGTAAATTCTACAATTGCCATTTCCTCTTGTTGCAAAGAAATCAAGGATAATTAAAGCATCAGGCCATTGACCACTGTGGAAATAGAAAGATCTTTAAACTTCAAATTCAGAGCATCAGTCAGAGTCTTTCAAATGATCTATGGCAAGGTTTTAAGAGCTATGGCTATAAATAATGTAATTTGCTGTCCATTTGCAAAGGAACTGAAACAACAACAGAGACACAGAAAGCATGTGTTAATTAGAGCAGTATGCGAATTCTACAGCATGGTAATACGTTAAATACGAGGCTGCTTCTCCCTGCATTTAATGCAAATTTTTGATCTAATTGTCCCACTTTCTCCCGTCATTTGTCGTAAATTACGGTCCTTTCTGATAAAGGAATTCGCTCATCCAAATGCCATGTTGTGGAGGAAAATGACTGTCTGCGTGCTATTTGCATATACTTCACTGAACTATTATCACAATAATGTCTTACTGCTAAAGCAAAATATGCATTTTAACAAAAGAAATGCCTGTGCTGTTTCTATTTATGATTTAACCCTTCTGAGCTATTTATACAGCCCTGTTAGGAGCGCGTTACAAGTGAACCAATTTCACAAATCCCTTTAATGAATATTCAGTGTGGTTGATAGGTCCTGCTCAGCCTTTTATAGGTTGTCATGTGTATGTATAATGAATATTGAAAATATTCCATATTAACAATATGTGATTGTGTATGTTTGCCTATAAAGGCACTGAAAACATGCATTGCAAACAGTAATTGCCTTTGATTTCAAGAGCTGTGGCAGGTCTAATATTTGCTGTCATATACGTATAGAGCCCACTATTACCCGACTTAGCTTATGCAATTAGTTTCATGCCATACTCTGTACAGCCAGAGCTTGCAAGCTGTCAGTGTATAGATCCCTGTTAGTGTCTCTTTGAATGTTTTTTTACTGGTGCTTTAACTTTTTTTCCTTTTTTCTTGCACTTGCCTCAGCCCCTAACACATTCTTGTTTATATTGAGGAGGGGGGAGAAAAAAGAACAGGCTTTCCAGGCTAGCCTGCTGCTTTTGCTGCTGCTTTGCTGACTGTTGCCCAAGTTTTGCAGCTCACGACTGCGTGGCACTGACAGCCGTTAGGGTTGTCCCATATGGAACGGAGCCTGCCTAACCCCGATGTTCACTGCACCCCACCCTACACACACCTTGATCACAGCCATCCACAGTTCCCTTCCCAAATCCCTGTTGTGGATTTCCTTTTTATTGATGGATTTGTAATGTTGGGTTTTTTCTGTTAAAAATGTATCCTTATACTTGTACGTTTAAATACATAATTAAATTCTCATTATGAAAAATAAACAGATGTTATGCTTTGTGCATTACAGGTTGTTGCATTACTTATGTTCTGCTTTCCTAACAATTCCTGATTTTCTATTTTGCTTCCGTTTTGTTGCTTCTTGCTATTTGCTTGCAAAAACAAAACAGGCAAGCCTGGTAAGTAAAGCTTTTCACCAACTTTCACACCAGCATTTTGCATTTTTAGTTTCTTTTGCTTTTGTTCTCCGTTTGCTGCATTCCCATTAAGTAATGTAAGTAATACTGAGCTGAGCCTGAAAGCGGATCTGCTGTCGTGGTGCTCTGATTCTGTCAATTTGGATGGTGTTAGTCCTGAGCATACTGCTGTTATTGTTGGTGAGCCGTGGACAGTGTGTGTTGCAGACATGGAAGCCATTTAATTAAAATATTTTAATTGCATAACCTCATAAATATCTTTAGAAATAAGTATCTGTAACTGCTTAACTAAGATTTGACTGGCAGACTATTATCAGCGCGGTTCCACTAAGCAGCTTTGTCATTAAAGCTAAATCACAGTTTTAGAAAATATCGCATAGCTCTTCCAGTCCTCCAGGCAGATGCTAGTTTCTGTTTTCTGTAGTATTTAACCACTTCGGTTTTAAATGTATCATCTTAACTGTTATCTGAGATTATCAGATGCCCCTTTCGTAAAGCTTACTGGAAACTCTCCCTCTTTTCAATCCACATGTCATTCCCTTTCCCAATATAAATTCCAGTTTCCCCTTGGAGTCTAACGAGGCCTCAGCTCGCTCCCCGGTCCATGGGCACCTCTAGCATGTAGTGGAAGGGAGAGGAGAGGAGAGGAGAAAGGGAGCATCGGTTATCTTTTGCCCCTAATTCCCGTGTGCAAGTTGAAGTGGGGCTGGGGATGAGTGTTTGAGGAGCTGGTCCAGCTGAGGAGAGAGGGGGGCTCCGCGGCGCCCTGGGAGGAACAGGAAGAGCTCGGTAGTTGTGGGGGAGCGAGTCGCGAATTACTAACTTTCTAGATTGCCCTAGAAACAATAAGAAGGAAGTTGCTAAAATACCGCAGGCAGCAGTCTCGGAAAAAAGTGAAGTTGTGACATAAATAAATTTAAGTACATTACGTGATCATGCAAATGGATCCCTTCCCCTGCATGGAGTTGCGATGACAGAGGTTTTGCCAAAGAACAGGATCCTGCCAGTGAATGTTTTGGAATTAAGCTAGACAGTGTGTATTATTCAGCGTGATTAAACAAATCCTGTGCTGGAACACAAGGTGACAACTTCTCAGATTTAGGAAAATAAATGAAGGATGACAAATGGTTTTCTCATTTTGCTTGAGAATACCTTCATTTTGACATTACAGATGATCACAGTGTCTTTAAGAAGGCAACTAGAAAAGAATGTTTATTTTTTATGAAATGTTAAATGTTATCAGACTGATATGGCATTACAGGGCTCTGGGTTTCTTGGCTTTGCCATATCAAGGGTGTTTGTTGACCAGTAAAATAAAGATGTTACAACTTCCAGTGCTGCAAACTCAGTGCAGGTCTTGA